TAACGAGATAAAATAGAAAAGAAATTCTAGGCAAAATTTTTATCAAAATTATTATCAAAAACCTGATTGGTTAAATTAAAACATCCTCCATAATTGCAACCAATCAGATCCATCGATTTTAAATTTAGAATTTAGTTTCATTATCGATCACATGTTCAAGTGAAAAAGTTCAGTGTCCTTGTCCAGAATATCTACTTTTACAATCCACTTTAGAGATTACACCTTACTTCAGTGTTTCAGTGCACAACCAAGCAATGAAATAGCGGAAAACACAGTTAAGAGGGCTCTAAAGCAAATAGGCAACCAGCAATACATTTTTATGGATTTTATTACACAGTTTTTTGTGCATTAATTCGTATTAGATAATCTGTGTAATAAAATCTATAAAAATGTATTGCTGGTTGCCTATTTGCTGAAGAGCCCTCTTAAAATTAATTTGTTGCGTTTTAAATGAGCACAGTCCGCATAGGGCTTATTGTAGGAAACGTAGACAAATGATTGTACTCGAGCTTCACGATTAAAAAAATACAGTGTCAAGTCACATATAGATAACAAAAGGTGATTGTAAACTAGGGAAACTGACGGTCATTTTCGGTTAGATTTAACATTATCACAAGTAAACGTTTATTTTTTTCTTTTCTAATATTATTTATTAGGCCGTTTTATACAAAGGAAGTCAACTGAATGGAGAAAGTGCAAATAAAAAGTAGTGTAATATAAAAGATAAGTAAACAAAAAAATATTTTGTTGTAACGAGTTTGCTGATTAAAAAATAAAACAGCAAAAAAATGTGAAGAATTTCTTTCTGAAAAATTAATGTAACATAATACTATTTTTATGGAAGCTGTAACTTTAAGTGGGGATCAGTTTTTAGGGGTACACTTTCCCCTGATTACGAATATAATACTTGTGTACGCCAACACTGTAATACAAAATATGAATTGTAGGCAACCTACAGTGCATGTGAAGGGAGATAGTGCTGGTAACAGTGATGAAGCGAAGGGCGTTAGTTGTTCCCCAATTGGAGACAGTACATCTAATATGAATGTGAATTTGAATGTTTTTCATTGCTGGAAGCAATCAACACACTATATATTTTTTAAGGTATGAAAATTACTAAAAAAAGGTTACAAAAAATAAATTTTTTACAACGGAATTTGGGAAAATAAACTATTGATTCGTGTCTCTAGAGGTCAAAGGGAGCCTCTGTATAAATATGACCCTCACTCAAAGTTACACCCTGTATAAATAGTTCATGTTCCAAAAAGAATGGTTTTGATACATAATTAAAATTTTTATTAAATAAAAAACCATCGATTCTATTTACAAATTTTTTAAGACAAAAATTTGTTTTGAAATTTGATAGCCAACAATAAATATGTATGAAAATATTAGTTTCATAATATAATATGTTGATAAAAATTAGACTTTTTTCCATTTGAGCATTTGTTTCAATTAAATCTTAGAAAATAGAAATTTGCCGAACTCATTTGTATTATTTATATATGTATCTATTTACTATTTTGTGGTAATATTTCGATGATTTCGTTTTCACAGTTGCGGAGTCCGTATTGTATCATGTATGAAATAAATTGTGGCGTATATATCTAATTTTTAGTTCTTGTGTTGATATAATTCTTAGGATTATGATAGAACCTTTAAAAACGGTCATTACTTACCCTTGAGAGTGTCTAAATGGAAGCCGTGAGAAAAAAAATAAGTAAAGAGGGAGGTTGGACAAAAATAACTTTATTCTCAACAACAAAAACATTAAAATTAAAAAAAGCGCTTAGGTAAAAGTTCAACAATAGTCATTTAAAAAACGATTTAAGGTACCCATCAGATGAACGATATACATAGTTTAAAATGGCCGTCAGTTCTAAAGAGGTACATTGAATATAACAACAATTAATTGATAGATCTGAGCACCTGATACCTATGACTACCAAAAATTCTGGCCCAGTCTGGCGGCCTGCCGCGGACCGGGATGGACCCTGTATATATATATACACTTATCTACTATCTAACATCTCCATGAGCTCAAGAAAACATACAGCGTCTCAAAAACATTTAACAGCGATTAAGCGCTTAACCTAGGTTTAACGTCTCTTAGACATATAATAAAAACACCGATACATAAATAGATATACATAAACAAAATAAAGTGGATTGTCATTTTTTTTAATGGAAAAAACGCGGGAACGGCGCCGGTCGCGCGCAGGCCTCTAAATTTTAATCTAATATCATACATACAATAACATGTACAAATATTTCATTATAAGTATTAATATAGATAGATTCATAGTAATAGACTTTTTAAAAAGATCACAACACAGAGTTAATAGTACCCGCGTGCTTTCAGCACCCTCGGTACATTTGAGTTAAAAAACCAAGGAGGCCGCCCGCCGCCCCGGGGGCGCCCTGTGGCACATTTTTTTACATCCGTATCGTACAATTCAACTAGATTTTTTTTACAGGGTAGTAACTAATATCCTGTCGATCAATTGCGGCGCGCTCGAGAATAACGTGAATCCTAGGGTTAAAAAAACTTTACAAGATCCTTTCCGTTAAATTTTTTTTTAAAGAATATGGCAGTCCAAGAAATTTTCAGAGATTTTTTTATGGACACATGTAGTGAAAAGCACTAAACGTTTAGTGTGACAGAGCAGGAATATTTTGAGCTTTTGTACCGTCTAGCGTTCGAGAAAAATCTACAATATCCACCAGAACAATACCTGGCAATTTTGTTTTATTTTCTTCTTGAAAATGAAACTGTTTCACGTATTTTTACAGCGGAAAAGTTAATTTTTAGAAAATTCACTTTAACGCCCTCTATCAAATCTCTTATTCTGGAGCGCCCCGTATAACCGTCCCGTAACAGTACTCGTTAACCTATAATATAGTATTAGTAGCAATTTATTATTAAAATAATTCTTATTTGTAAATTTTTCTAACACCTACCTCCTACGATAACTAATTTGTTAATAAATATAAAAAGGAAGAGTTAAAAACACTCGCATTTTGAGCAAATCCACATATACTTTTTGTTTGGGCGGCAACGGGGCGGGCTAGGCGGTCTCATTGAAGTTATTATATTATTTATAATACGTATAGTTCATACAATAATTATTTATTATTATGGCCGTTTTGATATTTGATTATTAACACTTTGAGTTCAGATCTATTGCTCATATAGCTGACTTAACGAAAATGATACTCTAAAGCGTACGCCGGAAATACCACACCCGCAATATCGCGATAGATACACCGGAATCCGAATCCGGGGTGAGACTCCGGGGACAAACTCCGGGGAAAAACTCAGGGGACAAACTCCGGGCCCGACTCAAGAGACAGACTCCGGGGTCAAACTCCTGGGTTCGAATCCGGGAGCAAACTCCGAGGTCCAACTCCGGTTACGACTCCGGGGACAAACTCCGGGGTCCGACTCCGGGAACGAAGTTCGGGGTCAAACTCTGAGATCGGATTCCGGGCCATACTCTAGGGCACGACTCCGGGGTCACATTCCGGGGTCGTATTCCGACTGTGGGTCAAACTCCAGTGTGCGACTCCGGGGTCCGACTCCGGGTACAGTCTCCGGTGGGCTGACCTTGAAGTTTGACACCGGGGTCGAATTCCGGAGTTAGACTGCGGGGACAGACTCCGGGGTCCAACTTTGGGTTCAAACTCCGGCGCCAAACCCCGGGGATCGACTCCGGGGACATACTCCGGGGTCCGACTCCGCAAATCAATGCCTAATCTAATGAATGGAAATTATTAATAAATTTCTTGTATATTTATTATTGGATACAAGTATAATTTTAAATATACAGGGTGGATCTTGTTTCATTACCCATTATTAGCGTCCCAAAACCCACAGAAAGTTACAATTTTACAAATTGAAATTTGTATATAAATTTAACATTATTTTGCTACAGCTAACGCGATTTAAAAAAAATAATTAAAACTAGAAATTAATTTGGCATATTTCACCAAGATTTTCTTGTACTCTGACGTAAAATAAAAAAAAAATTGACATAAAAAATATGAAGACATTTTTCAATCAAAACTGGAAATGAAGAGTGCCTCGTATTCCAATGCAAACAAATAAAATTTAGGAAAAATTAAGGAAAAAACAAATCATTTCAAATGTCTTATCACTGTAATCACAAAAAGCTATATTCAAAGTTGCAAAAATCTAAAATAATGCCTAAAAAAGGTATTTTATTTATGTTTGGATCAGGAAGCATAGAAAAAACACTATGTCGACGTTTTGCCGTTTTGTTACGACCATCATCAGAGCTATTAGGTCACCTTCCAGATAGAAATTTTAATAAAACCAGTGTCTTGTATTATTTTTTTTGTGTTTTGTTTTCTACTTTTTTCAAAATTCGTTTTCATTATTTGTTGAATACCATCTTTGAGTTATACCAATGCGACCAAGGGTTAGGTGTTAACAATAGGAAAGATCAATATTCCCAATTTTATATTTAAAATGTCCCTATACAGGTGATTCACAACTTATCCAAAAAAAATTTGGGATTAGATGCGGCATAAGAAATGGAGTTAATATTGTAAAAAAAATTTTTGTAAAATCCTTATAGTTTTCGAGAAAAAAAATTATTGAAGTTATAGTACATTCAACCACTACATAGCTGGACAACTGTAGTCTCTAGCGTCATTCGCAATACGCGTGGAGAGCCATGTGACTCCTAATACTGAAATCCGTCGTTGCGGTAGTTTTTACCTGTTATCTGTGGTGTTTACAACAGTTTTTTAGTAGTTAGTGTCAAAAATAGTTTGCGTGTATAGCAACTCAGAGTTGATGGATGGAATTAATAAAGGCAAAAGCATTTGAATTTGCCGATATAAAATAGGTGCATTGTGCGAGGTCAGGTTTTACAGTGGACCAGTTTCCAGTGCCGTGCAGAAGAGTATTTTTAAATCAATTTCGAACTGCCCTTTTTGATTTTTTCTTTACAAAATTGTATTTGTAAGGGTCCCCTGTACATCCAGATTTTTTTTTTGATAATTCTGTATCACCCTGTATATATACTTATAAAATTTTTCACTCAATGCATAAACTGCTGAGGCAAGGAATAACAACCGAAGGTCACCAATCTACAAATTTTTTTTCCACTAAATTTTAATTTGTAAAAAATGGCAAAATACCAAATTATAGTGACCTGTCTTGCCCAATAATGATGCGCCATTTTTTTTTTAATATTCCAGATACAGTTACGAGACACCAAAGCGACAAAATAAACAACGGTTCACCCTGTATATGCTAAACTGTGTTTTAAATATAATAAATCGATTTTTCCACTCAACCCTGATAAGAACTTTCATCAGTCCGAAAAACTGTTGCAAATTAACTAAATAGTAATTATGACTTGTAATTTGTGTGGTACCGCAAGGACCTATTCTGGGACCCAGACCTTCCCTAGACCCGTATAAACGATCTAGGGGGGCGACGATATGTAATATATTTGAACTTGAAAATCATACAATGTTATTTTTGTTGCGAAGCTGGTATTTCTGGCGTACTTTATAAAATTTCTGAGCACTATTTTTTGAATACCAGATCGCTAATGGTAGCACGAGGCGCGCGCCCCCTGGGCGGGGGGCGCGGCTCCTTACATAGTGTCTCAGTCGACATTCGAAAAGGCACTAACGTTACGACACCGTAACGTAACACAACCCCTATTTTATATTAAATATAAATCTCTGTTAATATGTGGTTTGTAATTTGTACACTATTACTCTACCTATAATTTTTTTACCTACACTCTTCTAAAGTTTTGAATAACAAACATGTCTTTTTTTTTCATCTTCAAGAAATTATGTGATGTTCCTTCGATCTGACTCTTTAATTATTATAATATTATTAATTTTTTGATTGCCCTTTACCTGTTTTTGATTCGTTTAATGTAAAAGTTAGTTTCTGAGCTAGGACTAGGTACTAAAGGGGCTTGGCACGGAAAGTTCGTAGCTGGAGCACGAGGGGGCGTCTTTCTCTTTTCTCCTGACGGGCTCTGCGTCGGGCGGCCTGTGCGATTTCATGTGGGCACTACGACTTTTGATCTTTGTGAACACTCTGTCGATAAAAAAAAGAGCTTGTTTAGTTCGTACTGTGGAACAGCGAGGTCCAAAACTTTAGTGGTGCCAATCTGCGATTGATTTACATCGCATTATGAAACATAAAATGCAAAAAATTTACTTTACATATTGATGAGACTCCTCAAATTAAGAAAAAAGTTCTTCATGAGTCCAAAAATGAAAGTCCTAAAAATGCTTTTTTGAATATTATTCTCTCCTTTATAAGATATATAATATGATACTATGAACCAGAGCTATCCAGTAAAATTGATAGGCTAGATACAATTTTTGATCTCGTTTTTCTTAGGGTAGCATTTATCCATTTATAAAAACTAAAACTTGAAAGTTTAGACTGTTTTTCTAAAAAATAAATTTTCAACAGTACAAATGATACACAGAAATCAGTGTAAACAGTTTCTATGGCTCCTAGTGCGTATGCAACCAAGGAAGCGGAGGAAGTAGAGATCAGGACTGTAATGAGAAGTTTTTAAATTTGAGGAATTTTATGACAAAGTCAAGTTTCAGGTTCAGGATACTTTGTAGATAGCTCTGTGTACCGGGTGTTTTGAAAAAAGATACCTCAGATTTAGGGGCTTGTAGGACACAGAGAAATAAAGCCAATTTTCTTCTATGGCTTTAAAACTACGTTCTGGTTATATCTTTTACAAAATGCACTGTATTGAACTCAAATTTCGTACATGTAAGTTATTAATAGGCCAGTCAATTTGTCGAAAGTACCTCGATTTTTGCCAAAATTTAGCTCGGTAAACAAAAACATAAAAATTATGAAAAATTCCGTAGAATTGAATAAACTACTTTACCCCAACTGAATGTTAGGGCTCCATTTTCAAAATGGCGTCCAAAGTTCGAAAAAGTCACTTAATTAAAAAAAAATAACATTTTAGAAAAAAATGTTTTAGACAAAAGTTGTAGAACTTGTTATAACAAAAATTTTGAGGCCAGCCCGATGTCAAGTGATAAACAAATGTATTAGTTATTGTAAAAAATCGGCTAAAAATCACATTCTTTAAAAACTCCAAAATCTTTACAACGAAAGATTAAAAATACAAAAGTTTTTACAAAATGCGACATTTAGTCGTTTTTTTGCAATAACTTTGTTATCAATCAGTCTGAGCTCAAAATCTTTGTTCTACAACTTTTGTCTAAAACATTTTTAGTTTTCTTTTAATGAAAAGAATTTTTGCAAACTTTGCACGCCATTTTGAAAATGGAGCCCTAACATGTTCAACTGGAGTAAAGTAGTTGGTTCATTTCCACGGAATTTTCCTTAATTTTTACTTGTCTTTGTCTACTGAACTGTTGGCACGTAAAAATCTAATTTGATTGGACTATGAGGATTCTAAAAACATGAGTGATATTTTAAGGCCTATATTTTGAAGTTGAATTTAATAAACAAATACTGTCAAAATAAATGAACACTTTATATTTTGGACCTCACTATCTCGATATGTATTCTATAAAATAAAATAGTGGCTAAATTTGATTTTTTTTGTAAAAGTGAAGATAAGAAAAAGAAGCAGCCTGAGAAAAATGGAGTTTCATGCCACATCGTGGCAGTCCGTCGGCCGACCAATACCAAAATTCACATACGACTATTCCGGCATTATGATCGGCAATTTTTTTTTGTTGTGACGTGCTCACGTGCATCTGATTTATTTAAGGTTATGTTTACTGAACACGTGGGCAGACGTACATTTTCTTTCTGTTATCATATTCTAGTGAACATAGAGACAACAAAACTCCAGTAGCTTTAAGAAGTTTTGCAGAAAAATACAAAATATATAGAGCATGCTGAAACGAAAAAATAACGAACAAAGGTGTACAATTAATGGAAAATTTAACTAAAAATAGGTATCTCTCCGCAAGTTGCTTGAGAGATGAATAATCTTTGGGAATATAGCCGGGGGTCATAAGGCGGCAAGATGTGCATTTTGAAATTTGTTTAGTTAATTTGCTACAAAATATGTTCGGAATTTTATGTAGAAGTTAATTTTTAACATAGTCTTCCAATATGTTGTGCACGAATGGCATAAAAAATAAGGGCAGGCGCGTTCATACAAACTTTTCTTCAAAAATAAAGAAGATATACCCATTCCAGTAAATAAATGAAATACTTTTTATTCTTCTTGGAGTATTTTGATAAATTTAAATTTACCGCCATTATAGTGCAGCGACATCTATTAGACAATATAATAGAGGTTCCTCTAATTGTGGTTTTCCATGCAGTTTCCTTAAGAGGGGTCTATAGCAAATAGGCAACCAACAATACACTTTTATAGATTTTATTACAAAGTTTGTCTAAATATGAATTAATGCACAAATAACAGACTTTCCTCCATTCTAAAGCAGATTTTCTGTAAAATGGAGTTAATTTGAGACTCAAATTACATTTTGCTGCAGAGAAATTTGTAATTTACGAAGTCGCTAGTCGGCAAATTACAAATTTCTTTACGACAAAAAGTAATTTGAGTCTCAAATTAACTCCATTTTATAGAAAAATCTGCATTACAATGGAGGAAAGTCTGTTATTTATGCATTAATTCATATTTAGGCAAATCGTGTAATAAAATCTATAAAAATGTTCTGTTGGTTGCCTATTTGCTATACAGCCCTCTTAATTATTTTATGATCTGTGGCTTCCGAGTGTGTCGTTTGCCACACCAGCTACAGATGGCGCACTAGACCGCTGCTGCCGACTGAAGACATAATAAAATCCTCTTATTTATTTACTCGTATGGATATAAAGCTCTAAAGGATGGTAGTAGATATTAAATTTGTCATCTAGACACTAAGAGAAGCACCAATTGAAAAAGTTTCTATACTATTAAGGACAAAAGTAACTTCTGTTTAATTTTAATTAATCGAACTGCTTTCAAGAAATTCAGGGACATACAGGATGTTAAAGAGAAGTGTTGAAAATATCGAAAGGAAAGAGTACTCTCAAAAATTAGAAAAAAAAGTTCGTATTGGCCCACGACAAAAAAAATATTTTGTGATCGAGTTATTTTTCCATTTTCAAGGTCATTTGAAAGTCAAATCGCCCTCTCGAAGTTCTCAGGTTGGTAACTCGTCAGGATAGCAAGATATCGGGAAAATGACATTTAAAAAAGTTGTTTGGATCATCGGAGACCACGACCTAATGACCTCAGATTTGACCTTACATAACCACCACCACGACTATTGGTGGTGGTTCCATAAAACGTGACAACAGAATGACGCTGCAACACTTAAAATAATTTAGTATAAATTGTGAGGTTTTACAGAAGTTTTGATCGATGATGCTGCAAAATAGAAACAAGAGTTAACCTTGAAACAACCTTGAACTTGACCCTCAAGGTCAAACCCAAGGAAACCAGACGATGGTCCCAAAGCGGCACAAGTAAAAAAAAATAATAAAGGATGATTTTCTTTTAAAGCACGCCCTATGACCCGCCCGCTACACCCCCACACGAACTAAAAATACCTTTCTCCGCACACTGGATGTTGTATTTTCGGAAAGTAACGGACAGTATTAGCACGTAAGCAGAGGACGCAACACACCGATCATTTACCTTAAGTATTTTTATGACGGTTCGTGTACACTTACTTCCCGCATATCTTGCAGGGGTACTCGTCCGTGGAGTCGGGGTGGCAGACGGTGGAGCTGGCGGGCGCCGTCCTCTTGTCCGGCGCGGCGGACGGCGACGGCGTCGGCGAGTTCCTGGCCGTGCCGCCGTGGATCCGTATGTGGCCGTTCAGCGCCGCTCTGGAATTAAAACTCTGAAAAAGAAAGTTATAATGTTAACATTTAAACGGAAAATTAGCGTGGTAAGTTGTATCAGTGTACTGTCGACGTTGCCAGTTTTTGCCTCTTTAAAATAACTGTCAGAGATCGACAGCGGAAAATAATAATTTAGTAAAGCATATTGCTTCGTATAGCTTAGCTGCGTGTTACTTTAAAGTCACCATGTTGTTTTGATATCGATGTGGACGAAGTGCCGAACATCACTTTACAATTTTTACTAAATTTTAGTCAAATTCTGACCTATTTTTTGTTCCACTTTGTATTTGATGACTTATAAGGAGAAAAGTAGCAACAAATTGAGGGATTAACAATTAAAAAAATATATCTTACAGCTGAGCATTCGGGAAATTCGCAGACGAATCCTCTTGGCTCCGGAACGGGCATGGGGGACCCGCTGTCTGCGATCTACAAAAAAAAAGAAAAAATACATTTCCGTGCTAGGAACGCTAAGAACAGTAATTTACCCCCAGCAATTTGGCATCTGGGTAGAGCTTCTCGTCCATGTCGGATTCCGAACCTTTCAAATAGCTGTTCCTCCGCTCCCGCATCTGTTTCAACCTGCGGTACTCGTCAGCGCACACCTTCTTCCAGACGTAGTAGAACTGCACGCATTGTTTTATGGTTTTTGTCCGAATCTAGAGCGCGAAAATAAAAATATATGAGTGATGTAAACGTGTTTAGTCATTTCTCAAAATTACTAATATTTGTACTTTATGAGAAGCGCTGTTCACATGGAAAGGAACCATTTACGCGTGCGCACCACCGAATTACGAGTTTGCCACGTCATATGTCAAGGAATCCATTTAGAAGAAGACTTAAATCTTTTAGTTTCACACTACGTGCCAAATTTACATAATCTTAGAAAACAGTTTACAATAATTTTGCTAGAAATGTCTAAAAATGACTGAGATGTTGATCACAATGTCAGAAATTAATTTTGATTTAGTTTTTTAGACCTACGGTAAGATTTCAGGTAGAAATATTTCCAAAATTTGTTTCTAACTATCTAATTTAGAAAATGACATCTTTTCATCACGATATTTGATAACAAATTCGACAATGTTTACCGGATATAAATATGTCGGCATCAGTCTTGTAACCGCTTATGAATTCTTCGCCACTCGAGGAACTGTCACCGTCGATGGATTGTTCAAGGGCTTGTTTTTGTTTATGTTTAAAATACGAAATATGTTATCTTTTCATGGTTAAGTTTAAGCCTGTGCGTGAAAGACCATCATTATCGCACTTTTGTAAACACTTCCTTACACGGTCATTTTCGGTAAAAAGTAAACTGATAGGATAGAGGAACGCACAGGGAAACGTCCCTGCTAACGGAACAAAACTAAAGGCCCCGGAAGCAACCGCAGCGTTCAATTGATGAAACAATAATAGCCGTGTGGCTTTTATTATTATAATTATTGTTATTATTGTTTTGATAGAAAAGTAGTGAACAGGTTGTTAGGGCTGACAGTGGCTAACCGTTACTTGCTTAAAAAAAAGGAAGGGAAAAATATACTATGCGTGACCCCTTTCGAAAAAGCTTTCGACGGCGCCCGTGCCCGGGCCGCTTTCTTTGGGCACCGATATTCGCCGTGCGCGTTTTTTCGCTTAACAGGACCAGTACAAGGCAGACAAATCACCGTAATTACCTCTTGAGCTATGCTGCGAAAGTCTTTATCATATTTGAGCAGAGCCTTGTGGAAAATGTCGGTTTCCACCGACGACCATTTGTCAGTTTCGCTGTATTGATAGGCCAGCAGCGGGTGGTCCGTCGGGAGGTTGGGGGAGGGCTGCATCAGCCGCAACATGGCGTCCTGTTAATGTAACAGATCAAGTTTACATCCGGAAATGTGTTCGTCTTCGGTCGAAGTTATAATTTAATGCAACTAGTTTGGGGGATGGGGTGGTTCGGGGGGGCCGTGCGGTGACTACCGCGTAAGCAATTTGGATAGGAGAGGGACGTCTACTTGCGATATTTATTGCCGCAATAAATTAAAATTTGAAAATCAGTTTTGTTGCATGTACAAAATTTTTTATTGAAGGGTACAGTATTTGAGTTTTGTATTCTGCTATTTCTGATAACTCTCGCAAGAAATGTCAGACATAAACTGAAAAAAAAAAATGTGCAATAGAAACAATAATTTGTATTTGTATTTGTGTAAAAGAACATTGACATGTTTTTGCGACCGTTATTACCCAATAAATGTCGCAAGTATTTCAACTAAGCGAGATCTCATCTATAGACAAGTATGTCAGAACTTTCGGTTAATATGAAATTCTTTCAAAGTCCACTTGCGACATTTATTGCCCCAATAAATTCGAATTAGAAATTCGCGTATTTCTTTTGTTGCATGCACAAAACTTTTGATCGAAGGGTACAGTATTCTTTGAGTTTTGTATTGTGCTATTTCTGATAACTCTCGCAAGAAATGTCAGACATAAACAGAAAAAAAAATTGTGGAAGAATAGTAACAATAATTTGCATTAAGTATTTGTGTAAAAGAACATTGACATAGTTTTGCGAAATTTAATGCGCAATAAATGTCGCAAATATTTCAACTAAGCATCTCTTTTGGAAAGAGATCTCATCTATAGACAAGTATGTCGGAGCTTTCGGTTAATATAAAAATTTTTCAATGTCACTTGCGACATTTATTGCCCCAATAAATTCGAATTAGAAATTCGCAGATTTGTTTTGTTGCATGCACAAAACTTTTGATTGAGGGGTACAGTATTCTTTGAGTTCTACTATTTCTGATAACTCTCGCAAGAAATGTCATAAAGATGCAAGTATTTCAACTAAGCATCTCTTCTAGAAAGAGATCTCATCTATAGACAAGTATGTCAGAACTATCGGCCAATATGAGATTCTTTCAATGTCCACTTGCGACATTTATTGCCTCAATAAATTCGAATTAGAAAATCGCATATTTGTTTTGTTGCATGCACAAAACTTTTGATTGAGTATTCTTTGAGTTTTGTATGGTGCTATTTCTGATAACTCTCACAAGAAATGTCAGACATAACAGAATTTTTTTTTGTGGAAGCATAGAAGCAATAATTTGCATTAAATAATGTATGTAAAACAGCAGTAACATGTTTTTGTGACAGTTATTGCGCAATAAATGTCGCAAGTATTTCAATTATGCATCTCTTTCGGAAAGAGATCTAATCGTATAGCTAATCTATAGATAATAATTATATCAGAACATTTGTTAATATGAAATTATTTCAATGCCCACTTGCGACATTTATTGCCCAAATTCGAATTAGAAGTTCGCATATTTCTTTTGTTGCATGCACAAAACTTTTGATCGAAGGGTACAGTATTCTTTAAGTTTTGTATTGTGCTATTTCTGATAACTCTCGCAAGAAATGTCAGACATAAACAGGAAAAAAAATGTGGCAGAATAGTGACAACAATTTGCATTAAGTATTTGTGGAAAAGAACATTGACATATTTTTGCGAAATTTATTGCGCAATAAATGTCGCATGTATTTCAACTAAGCATCTCTTTTGGAAAGAGATCTCATCTATAGACAAGTATGTCGGAGATTTCGGTTAATATGAAATTTTTTCAATGCCACTTGCGACATTTATTGCCCCAATCGATTCGAATTAGAAATTCGCAAATTTGTTTTGTTGCATGCACAAAACTTTTGATTGAGGGGTACAGTATTCTTTGAGTTCTACTATTTCTGATAACTCGCGCAAGAAATGTTAGACATAAACAGAAAAAAAAAAATTGCGGAAAAATAGAAATGACAATTTACTTAAGTACTTATGTAAAAGAACATTGAGATGTGTTCGCGACAGTTATTGCGCAATAAATGTCGCAAATATTTCAACTAAGCATCTCTTCTAAAAAGAGATCTCATCTATAGACAAGTATGTCAGAAGTATCGGCCAATATGAGATTCTTTCAATGTCCACTTGCGACATTTATTGCCTCAATAAATTCGAATTAGAAAATCGCATATTTGTTTTGTTGCATGCACAAAACTTTTGATTGAGTACTCTTTGAGTTTTGTATGGTGCTATATCTGATAACTCTCACAAGAAATGTCAGACATAAACAAAAAAAATGTTTGTGGAAGAATAGAAACAACAATTTGCATTAAGTATTTGTGTAAAAGCACATAGACATGTTTTTGCGAAATTTATTGCGCAATAAATGTCGCAAATATTTCAACTAAGCATCTCTTCTAAAAAGAGATCTCATCTATAGACAAGTGTGTCAGAACTATCGGCCAATATGAAATTCTTTCAATTGTCCTCTTGCGACATTTATTGCCCCAACAAATTCGAATTAGAAATTCGCGTATTTGTTTTGTTACATGCACAACAAACTTTTGATCGAAGGGTAAAGTATTCTTTGAGTTTTGTGGTGCTGTTTCTAATAACTCTCGCAAGAAATGTCAAACATAAACAAAAAAAATTGTGGATGAATAGAAACGACAATTTGCATTAAGTATTTGTGTAAAAGCACATAGACATGTTTTTGCGAAATTTATTGCGCAATAAATGTCGCAAGTATTTCAACGAAGTATCTCTTTTGTAAAGAAATCTCATCTAAGATAAGGTAAGAACTTTTGGTTAAAATGGAATTCTTATGAGGTTCACTTGCAACATTTATTGCCGCAATAAATTCAAACTGCACGAAACTCGCAAAAAAAATTGTTATCGTTATATATCGTTTTTTCCTCGGACTTTTAAAAGTATTACATTATTTTTGATAACTCTCACAAGAAATTCCAGAACAAACCAACACTTGCAATAAATGTCGCAAGTATGTCAGCTCGTCAACACCAATTCTTTGCACCTAACCGCGGTAAATGCATTTTACAGTAAAAACGTTAGATTGTCTTGAAAAAAAAAACAAAAATGTGTGAAAAAAATACTTGGTGACTTACGTGGATGTTGCCCCCGCACATGTGCAGCAGGTGCATCGCGTACTCCTTGTTCCGTCCTCCGCCAGGGACTGCAGCGCAGCACGCGAAATCCAGATACATGTCAACTGCACATATTCAATGCTAACATGCCTGTTGGTAAGCCACTCCGTGGCTTAGGCAACAAGCCACTCATTTTTAAATTAGGCCAATAAACGACAACAATCAGATTTAGTAAACATTCTGTTAGCGATATCTGCAGTACAGTTATATGAGACGGTTGCTGTCACGTTTCCAAGGAAAAATATCCAAAGAGACACATCTAAAACATTTACCCATTGTCGACACGATAAATTGGCCAAGAATTGGAAGATATTTTTCCTTACAAACCGACTGTGACACGATAAGAACTTCTGAATAAATTACCTTCACTGTCGGTGCAGTTATTAATACCGGGATCCCAGAGCAGATCCTCATAAGTCGGTTCCGGGTTGGCTCTATTTGGAGCGGATGTAAAAGGGGGTATGTTGCATTGGAACTGGGCTCCTATATTGACGTGAGGGGTCGAGTCCGTTTCCGGTATGGGTTCGCTGCTCCAACTTACCCCGTCATCGTCTGGAACAATAGAGGTAGTTGGATAAGTCCCTACCTTCCTTCAGATCCCGCAGCAAACTTACTCTTGTTCTTCAAATTGGAATAAAGTCCCGTTCCTATTCTTTGGGGGTTGAGTATCGGCTGAGGAGTGTACGGAGCGGACCCTTGGGGTTTACTTCTCGTCGCCCTCAGCTTGGACTGGTGGAAGACGGGCAGCTGCAGGGGTTCCGTCCTAGGCCTTTTCCTTGACGTCCGCACAGGACTAGCTGGAATCCTAGCAGAGGAAAACAATAAATTGGACAACATGTTGGTACGATAAACTACTTCAAGTATTATTACACCAGGAAAATTAGCGAAAAAAGTACTATCCGCGAGATTATTGTAAAATTGTCTAAAGGGACATAATACAAGACATCTCTCATCTCGTGAGTCAAAAACTTTTATTAGCTAACTTTTCTATTTAAACAAATAAGTGAGGAAAACAGTTTTTTCACTTTGCAGGAAAAACCATCAATTTTAGCGAAAAGTGACTCCCAGACAGCTTGTAGAGAGTAAAATTACCTACAAAATGAGACTTGTTAAATTAAAATCGTGTAATAAACAAAAAAGTTATTGCAAAAAACCAAGAAAAGTGCCCATTTTTTAATTTGTTTATAACTATCGCATTTATTGTTAAAATTTTATAAAACCTATGACAAATTGAGGGTTTTGTCATACTTTAAAAGTGTGCCAAAAGTGGGCGCTGTAGGTGCAATAGTTTTCGCACAATTCTATTTATTTATAACGGAGGCTCCAAAACTTATGAACTTTAAGCCTCTGTACAGGCGTCAATTTTCAACCAAACATGATTCTGAAAGCGTCATTGTAATCTTAAAGACGTAATTAAGCGACCTATTAAAAGATATCACCGATTTTTTGACATTAACATTCTCAAATTGTGCATTAAAAAAACGTGCGTTTTTTACTTATAAACAATTTGAATAAAATTGTTGCTATTTATGCTACCTCACCGAAAATAGATGCAATGGATAGCTGGCAAAAAATACATTTTTTTTTAAAAAAAAGTACCCTCTACGACCAACAGGAGCCAAGATAAGATTTTTTTTCTTAAATCGTAGCGCAATTGTTTATAAATATTAAGATTTGAATTTTTCGCAAAATAAAGTTTACGACGTAAACTACGATTTCCCGTGAATTGCATTGAAAAATGTGGAAAATTAACGAACCCTTTAAAGAGAAGGTACTCGCTAAGTAAAGTGGTGTGGGAGAAGCTCGTCCAAGCGAGTCCCGCGCGCGAGAAAAGTTCAAATTGATGCGCGCTGTAAATTTTGCAATATCTCGGCTTCTATTCATCGTAGAAACTTCTTTTTTTAAACTGGGGTAGCTCGATGAAAAAATAACAATGGGCATATTTACGAATTCGTAGAATAACCCTGAACCCCAGAATAAATGCATCTTTTATACTTAATTTTTTTTAATTTGCAAATATCACAAAAATTATTGTTAAACGAAATATTAATTAAAATTTCAATTTCGGAATTATTTTACTATTATTAAATAAATAAATGAAGCTATCGTTCATTTAAAAAGTTATTTTTTTACATATTAAGGCAAAGTAAACTTGTTTTTTTTCAATATTTTGTTAGTTACGATTTAAAAAAGTAAAAATTCACAAATTATTTTCAAATTATTATTTATTGTTAAAAGATTTAAAAAATAATAAAAAGCATTTGAATTTATTATCAAAATTAAAAAATATCAATAAAAATAATGCGGTCGATAAAATTACATTTTTTTATTATATTTACAAATTTTATACAAAAAAATTTTTGCAACATAATAAAAATTAATTCAAAAAATATTAATCACAACCATTTTGAATAATAGATATATTGCAATACAGGGTGTTCCTAAATAAGTGTCGCAACGGAAAACTGTAAATTCCTCTTGAAAAAAGAAACATTATTTTCCTCTTCCATTTTTCTCTCCGGACTTTCATTTTCGAGATACACGGTGTCCAAACTTTAATTTTTTTTTAGTTTTTCGCCAATATCTTAGGAATCGTTTGAACTACAGGACTGAGCTTTTGTACACACATTACCACTATTAATAGCTACTTTTTCGCACCCTTCTCGAGTTCATTGGACATGCCAGTGGTGGAGATTTTAAGGTATGGTAAGGGTTCCCGCCCCCCTAAATTTTACGCCACTGGAAAAATTGACTTTTGACAACAAATTTTAAAGCGCCAATGAATTTTATACAACAAAAGTTCTCTTTGTTCATTGCTCTAAAGTCAACCGTTTTCAAGAAAAATGACTTTGTGAACAAAAGCAAACATTTTGCTAACGTTTCGAAAAAAATGTTTCTTATTTCAAGAGGAATTTACAGTTTTCCGTTGCGACACTTATTTAGGAACACCCTGTATAATACAACAATTTAAAATTTAATTTTTTTTCTATTTTTATGAGAAATAATTTGAAAATAATTTATGAATTTTTACTTTAATTTTACATTTAAATCGTAATTAAATATCTAACAAAATATTGAAAAAACAAATTTATTTTGCCTTAATATGTAATAAAAATAACTTTTTAAATGAACAATTTATTTATTTAATAATAGTAAAATAATTCCGAAATTGAAATTTTAATTAATATTTCGTTTAACAATAATTTTTGTGACATTTTTCTAAATTAAAAAAAATTTAAGTATAAAAGATGCATTTTTCTGCGGTTCATAGCTCTTCTACGAACTCGTAAATATGCCCATTGTTATTTTTTCGTTGAGCTACCCCAGTTTTAAAAATAGAAGTTTCTACGATGAACAGAAGTCGAGATATTGCAAAATTAACAGCGCGCATCAATTTGAACTTTTCTCGCGCGCGCGACTCGCTTGGACGAGCTTCCCCCACCACCACGCCGGACATTTTACTTAGCAAGTACCTACTCTTTAAAGGGCTCGTGAGTCGTTAATTTTCCACATTTTTCAATGCAATTCACGGGAAATCGTAGTTTACGTCGTAAACTTTATTTTGCGAAAAATTCAAGTCTTAATGTTTATAAACAATTGCGCTACGATTAAAAAAAAATCTTATATTGGCTCTGTTGATCGTAGAGGCTGATTTAAAAAAAATTGTATTTTTTTGCCAGCTATCCATTGTATCTATTTTCGGAGAGATAACATAAATAGCAACAATGTTATTCAAATTGTTTATAAGCGAAGAACGCACGGTTTTTTAATGCACAATTTGAGAATGTTAATGTCAAAAAAAACGGTGATATTTTTTAATAGGTCGCTTAATTGCGTCTTTAAGATTACAATGACGCTTTCAGAATCATGTTTGGATGAAAATTAACGCCTGTACAGAGGCCTAAAGTTCACAACTTTTGGAGCCTCCGCTGTAAACAAATAGAATTGTGCGAAAACTATTGCACCTACAGCGCCCACTTTTGGCACACTTTTGAATTATGACAAAACCCTCAACTTGTCATAGGTTTTATAAAATTTTAACAATAAATGCGATAGTTATAAACAAATTAAAAACTGGGCACTTTTCTTGTTTTTTGCAATAACTTTTTCGTTTATTAACCGATTTTAATTTAACAAGTCTCATTTTGTAGATAATTTTACTCCATACAAACTATATCAAAGTCACTATTCGCGAAAATTGATGGTTTTCCCTGCAAAGTGAAAAAACTGTTTTCCTCACTTATTTGTTTAAATAGTAAAGTTAGCTAGTAAAAGTTTTTGACTCACGAGATGAGAGATGTCTTGTATTTATGTTCCTTTAGACAATTTTACAATAATCTCGCGGATAGGACTTTTTTCGGGTAAAAATCTTATTTGCTTGGCCTATATGGAATCTGTATCTAAATAGATGTTTAAGTGACCACAGTTAATGGAGATAGACCTCAGGGAACTCTTCTAGGTCCCATTCACTTCACTATTTATAATCAACTCTCTGGCAAGTAGTCTTCAAAGATGGTACAGTTAGCATGATTAAAAAAAATAATAAATCAATTCCATGATCTACTTACGTTGTGGGGCTGAGAAAAACGTCGTTGCTCTCCTCCTTCTTAACTTCTACGACTTGCTTAGGCCTAGTGATGATCTGTTTCGTTGGTATGGCGCATTGTACTGTCTTTATCACCTTTTGTACTTTATTCTTGTCGTCGTTCTCCTGCGTGACTATCTGGGTGTTGGTAAGGACGAAGTTCTTCGCCTGGAAGGTGTTCCCCCCGGTCTGGATGAGCTTTATCTCGCCGTTCGCGTCCACCAGGATCCCGGCGAAATTCGAACTGTTCAGTTCTATGAGGCCGTTGTTGCTTATAAGCCTGAGCGGGACGCCGTTGAATTCGAACTTTTTCTTCGAGACGAAGTCCTTCGGGCTGCTCGACAGCAGGGGATCGTCCGAGTTTGGAAGCATGACGCCGTTGCACCAGTTATTGGACATGGAGAAGGTCGAGGTGTTCGGCGAAGGGGAGAACGTCGTCGATGGAAGAGGAGAGGGGTCGGAAGTCGTCACGATGCTGGATATCGGGGATGGCACCGGGGTTAGTCCAAGCGGACTCTGGGGCGTTGGGGAGTTGGTGAGGGGGTAAATTGGTTCTCCTGGCAGTACCTCTTCCAGGGCTTCCTCAACGGCCGCCGAGCTCGACATTGTCGAGGTGAAGAATGCCGCAGACAGAGGGGACGACGCCTGAGGCGGGTCGTACATCCCTGAGAGATACACGAATGTTTACTTATAACAAAATTAAAAAATATATGAATTTTGGAAATGTGCATACCAAATTACACTTGGAGAAAAAAAAAATTGTTACCTAGACTTTTATAAGTGGAAATGGTAAAAGGGCTTATAATAAACCTAAAAAAAATAAATGCGTGAGCAGGGGCGGCGGAGGGTTGATTTGGGGGATTGAAAAGTTAAGAAAAATTGTCTCATTGGGATTTCTGGCGAAAGTTGACGTCACACAAAAAAAGTATCTAACACGAAAGTTGTAGATCATGCAAAAATCTATAACTTTTGTAGAAGTCATCAAAATTTCCGAGAAAAATGCGTAAAACAGGTTTTTTTCTGATTTTTCGTTTTTTATTTCTCATTTCCGCAAAAAATCAATTTAATTTTGACGAAACTTGGTGAAAGTATACCTTTCTCTGGCTTAAATAATTTCCAATTTTTTTAGATAAACGAATTAAGAAGCTTCCGAGATATTCATTTTTTTCGGCCTGAAACACTTTTTCTTCAAAGAAAAATTCTACTTAAAAAAATCATCGTACAGAGTTCTGCCGGTAATCATTTTTATCGTTTTGACATATACTTTTTGGTGAAATAAAAAAATCTGTAATAACATTTCCAAAACATGCTCAAAAATGCAAAAAAATAAAAAATTACTTGCAACAATGAATTTTTCAGATATTGTTGATAATTTGTTTAAATTAAAAAACATTCAAAAACTGATTACACCATTCAATTCTACGGAAAAAAATAAAAAAAACTGTGTCTCATTGTTTGACCCAAAACTTTATTTTTGTACAGTATTGCTATAAACATCTAAGTCGAATTACAAATGCACAAATAATAAATTATCTCTGGACGATTTGAGATTTCAGCAATACAAAGTATTAACAGCAGAGTCTACTGTTGACGCGAAATCGGAAAACCTGAAAAATTTTGCAAAATCGTTTAATTTTTTTTCTGGCTTTATTTGAAAACGAATTTTAAATAAATTGCATATTTACAATGCCACATTATTCGCTCTATCCAGTGGCGTCAACATTTTTGCAATTCCACGTTTCGTTTTCGACGGGCCATCATCAGATTAATTTTTTTAAATATATCGCTGCTATTTTTATGACAAAATCTAGTCATTTTTAATTCTGTATTAGGTGATATTACTATTGTAAAAAAGGTTTTTAGCTATCATTAAAAAATTTTCCTGAGTACGGCTCTGAACGTTTTCAAAATACCTGTATCTATTAGAGAGAGAGAGGGGGGGAGAGGAGAGAAAGGAGAGAAAGGAGAGAAAGGAGAGAAATGAGAGAGAGGAGAGAGAGGAGAGAGAGGAGAGGAGAGAGAGAGGAGAGAGGAGAGAGAGAGAGAGAATAAAAGTCAATACATCACAAAATATCCAACAATTTTTTTAATCCATAATTTAAAAAGTTGTACCTAATAAAAAAATAATACGAATTTATGAAATATTTTATTATTTCTAATTAGTATTGCTAATAGTAGTAAAAAACCGTTGGATATTTTGTGCAGTATTGACTTTTATACTGTTATGACTTCATCCAATAGATATTTTGAAAGCGTTCAGAGCCGTACTCAGGAAAACTTTTAAATGATAGCTAAAACAAGCTAAAATTTAAGCGAGTACAATAGTAATATCCTCTAATTCAGAATTAAAAATGACTAGATTTTGTCATAAAAATAGTAGCGACGTATTTAAAAAAATTAACCAGATGATGGCCCCTCGAAGACGAAACGTCGGATTGCAAAAATGTTGACGCCATTGTATAGAGCGAAAAAAGTGGCATTGTAAATATGTTATTTATTTTAAAATTCGTTTTCAAATAAAGCCAGAAAAAATTACACAATTTAGCAAAATTTCGGGTTTTTCCGGATATCTCCGGAACTACTCGGAATTTTAAAACTTTCTAAACGGCATATTGTTAGGTATAAAAAATCACAACTTTTTTCAAATTTGAGCCACCCCGTATCTTTTACCGTTTCCTAGATACCAATGCTATCCCATCCTTATCTTGGACACACTGTATATCTATGAATTCATCAAGCTTTAAAAAAAATAAGTACAATAATCGATCCTACGCAAAAAAAATTATTTATTTTATTTATTCACTATTCGACTTATGTTTATGGCAATACTGTTTAAAAATAGTTTTGGGTCAAACAATGACAGTTTTTTTTTTATTTTTTTTCCGTAGAATTGAATGGTGTAATCAGTTTTTGAATGTTTTTTAATTTAAACAAATTATCAACAATTACTGAAAAATTCATCGTTGCTAGTCATTTTTTACTTTTTTGCATTTTTGAGCATGTTTTTGAGCAGTGATTAAAATTTTTTTTATTTCACCAAAAAGTATATGTCAAAACAAAAAAAATGATTACCGGCAGAATTCTGTACGATGATTTTTTTAAGTAGAATTTTTCTTTGAAAAAAAGTGTTTCAGGTCGAAAAAAATAAATATCTTGGAAACTTCTTTATTTTTTTATCTAAAAAAATTTGAGGTTATTTAAGACAGAGAAAGGTATACTTTCACCAAGTTTCGTCAAAATTAAATAATTTTTGCGGAAATGAGAAATAAAAAACGAAAAATCAGAAAAAAACTTGTTTTTCGAATTTTTCTCGGAAATTTTGAGGTTATGTTAAAAAGTGACCTCTACAAAAGTTGTAGATTTTTGCATGATCTACAACTTTTGTGATGGATACTTTTTTGTTTGACGTCAACTTTCGCCAGAAATCCCAATGATACAATTTTTTATAACTTTTCAACCCCCCAAATCAACCCTCTACGCATTTATTTATTTTCGTTTGTCATAAGCCCCTTTACCATTTCCACTTATAAAAGTCCAGGTAACAATTTTCTTTTTTTCCCCCCCCTCTAAATGAGTTATTTTGATCGGTCTAAGAGGTACCAAATAACTTACCCCTTTCCACGATCTGCCCGAATTCCTGAGTAGTGGGTGACACCATCGGCAGCATGGTGTTCTGGCCGAAACCGGGACTCTGCCCTTCGTGACTAGCGGGCGGTGTAGGGTAAGCAAAACCGGGCGAGTCGTGCCTTATCAGTGGACTTTGCAGCGGCGACTGCGCGGTGATTGTATGAGGAGACCTCGCGTACTGCGCCGGCGAATGCGTCTGGTACCCTGGGGAAGGCATATCCAGATTACTCGTGGAGTGAAACGTACTGAACTCCGCTAAACTCTCCGGCAAAGGGGAATCCAGCACCGCTTGCAGTTCCTGGTTAACCGAATGACTAGATTGGTACGACGGGGACTGCTGGACGACGGATTCCTGGAGGTTGATGTCTTCCAGTTTGAACTCTGGCAGCTGTTGGTCGTTCTGGTCTTGCAGCAGGGTGTCGGTTTGGAATTGTATCGAGGCGAGTTGGTTGGGATCCACGCCTTGCAGGAGCATGGTGTCCTGTACCTGGGTGAAGACCTCGTCTTGTAGGGTGGACGAGATGAATTCCGCTTCGTCCGACTGGTACGTCACGTTGGCCAGGGTAAAGGAATCCGCGGATTGGAACTCTATGAGAGGAGAGGATTGCGACTGACCCGGATCTGACGTGGTTCTCTTAACGGAGGCCTTCTCCCTTTTCAGTATGAGATCGGCCAGGGCCTGAGCTTCTTGCTGAGTGGTGGAAGTCCTGAAAGCTTCTGCGTCGGAATGTCTTCTGGTTTTCTCCGCCGTCTGCTGGGGCGGGGCAGGGACCACGAACGAAGAGATCTTCGACTCCAGGTCAGCGTTTCCTGAGGAATGCACGGTTAGGGGGAACAGCGGGGGGGCGTTGGATTTTGCTTCTTCTTGGGGCGTGGTGCTGGATGCCGGCGGATTGGTTATTCTCTTGTTTATTATCTTCTCTTCTATCAAGGCCCGCACGCTGACGCTGGCCGTCTGGAGAGGGGGGCCGGTGGAGTCTTTCTTTTCGCATTTTTTGTTCTCCGAGTCCTGCGGAATGTAAATGTCGCTAGAGTGGGAAATGTAGGAATGCGACAGCGAAAAGATTAATTTAAACAGAGTTGAGAGAGATAATTGGTGTTTTCTCAGGGTCATACTAATAATAACCATTCACGAAAAATGATTGTTCGAAAGTGATGCTCAAAAAAGTTTTTCATCTCAAAATTTCAGGACTAGAATATTGGTTCTTGTTTTTCTGGATACGACATTATTCACGAAGTTATAGCCTTTCAAAAATCACTAAAAAATTTGGAAATTTTTCTGTTCCTTTAATTTTTTTGGTATAGTTCATAGGAAAAATTATTTAGAGAATTGAATTTCAAATCGAAAAAGCTTATTTAAAAAATTTCAAAGGAAAATTTTATGCAAAATAATCGTTAATAAACAATTTGAAAAAAGTAAAAAAATCGATTTTCTGATTTTTTTTATTTTTTTGCCTCTAGTTTTTTTTTAGTAAAGATAGGTATAGCCATTGCTTCATAGAAGTAAAAGTAGATAAAATTTCCTTCAAAACATAGGGTATTTTTGGATGAAAATTGACTGATATATATGCTCAAACTTTGCCAATTTTTCGATTTTCGTCGCGTTTACCCTTATACGTTTTAATTCTCATTTTTTGCAAAAAAGGAAAGAAATAAGACGTTCAAGGATTTTCATCACATGACTTGTTCGAAGGGTCATTAAAAATGAAACCACGGGGTGCTCTTAAATTAGAGGGTTGAAATTGAAGATAGGGGTGAAAATGCACTTTTCCAGTTTTTTAAATATAGCACGAAAACGAAGTAAAATTTCGGTATAGTTCATAGGAAAAATTTTGTAAAGAATTGAATTTCTCATCGAAATGGCTTATTTAAAAAATGTTAAAGGAACATTTTATGCAAAAAATCGTTAATAAACAATTTTAAAGAACGCAAAAAATAAGATTTTTTGATTTTTTTTTACTTTTTTAATAAAATAATTTAGTAAAAACCTGAGAATTTAAGTTTATTAATAATGTATATACAGTGTGTCCACGGATGGAGTTGACACACAAGAGGAGAAACTCTTTTATTTTTGACTTTATCGAAAAATGTCACTTCATAAAAAGTTCTGCCCCTCGAAAAAATGAGACTTGCAGTTTTTTAAATATGGCACGAAAACGAAGAAAAATTTCGGTATTGTTCTTAGGAAAAATTTTGTAGAGAATTGAATTTCTCATCGAAATGACCTATTTAAAAAATGTAAAAGGAAAATTTTATGCAAAAAATCGTTAATAAACAATTTTAAAGAAAGCAAAAAATAAGATTTTCTGATTTTTTTTTTACTTTTTTTAATAAAATAATTTAGTAAGAACTTGAGAATTTAAGTACAATAAAGTTCATTAATAATGTATATACAGTGTGTCCACGGATACAGTTGACAAGAGGAGAAACTCTTTTGTTTTTGACTACCAAAAAATGTCACTCTTTATAAAAAGTTCTACCCTTCGAAAAAATGAGATTGTCATACAAACATCTTAGAGTAGATGTACAGGGTGCTCATAAATTTAAAAAAAACACGAAAATACTCAAGAGAGAAGTACCATTATTTATTATTTTACACAACATTTTTATAGAACAAATCTGTTATAACCTCAAATAATGTTTTAATACAAATTTTAAAATAAAAATTTAAATTTTTGGGGTGAGCTATACATATAGATTAAAAGTCAGAATAGAAATTTTTATTTTAAAATTTGTATTAGGACATTATTTGAGGTTATAAATAGATTTGTTTTATGAAAATATTGTGTAAAATAATAAATAGTGGTACTTTTCTCTTGAGTATTTTCGTGTTTTTTTTTAAATTTATGAGCACCCTCTATATCTAATCTAAGAAGTTTGTAGACAGTCTAATTTTTTCGAGGGGCAGAACTTTTGATAAAGAGTGACATTTTTCGATTAAGTCAAAAACAAAAGAGTTTCTCCTCTTGTCAACTCCATCCGTGGACACACTGTATATACATTACTAATAAACTTTATTGTACTTAAATTCTCAAGTTTTTACTAAATTATGTTATTGAAAAAGTAAAAAAAAGAATCAAAAAATCTTATTTTTTGCTTTCTTTAAAATTGTTTATAAACGATTTTTTGCATAAAATTTTCCTTTTACATTTTCTAAATAAGTCATTTCGATGAGAAATTCAAGTCTCTACAAAATTACTATACCGAAATTTTGCTTCGTTTTCGTGCTATATTAAAAAAATTGCAAAAGTACATTTTCACCCCTATCTTCAATTTCAACCCTCTAATTTAATAGCACACCATGGTTTTTTAATTTTTAATGACCTTTCGAACAAGTCATGTGATGAAAATCCTTGAACGTCTTATTTCCTTCCTTTTTTTTGCAAAAAATGATAATTAAAACGTATAAGGGTAAACGCGACGAAAATCGAAAAATGTTTCTAAGTTTGAGCGGCCATATATCAGTCAATTTTCATCCAAAAATACTTTACAACCTCTTGTTTTGAAGGAAGTTTTATATACTTTTTTTTCTATGAAGCAATGCCTATATCTATCTCTGCTCAGAAAAAAGTTATTTGCATAAAAGTAAAAAAAAAACAAAAAATTTAATTTCTTGCATTTTTTTATAAAATTGTTTTTAAAATATTTTGCAATAAATAAATTTTTTAAATAAGTTATTTCGATAGAAAATCTCATTATCTACAAAATTTTTCCTATGCAATACCCTCAAATTTTACTTCGTTTTCGAGATATACTCAAAAAAAACCGGAAGGGTTGCATTTTCACCCCTATCTCCAATTTCCACCCTCTAATTTAATACCACTCCGAGGCTTTTTCATTCTAAATAAACATTTGAACGATTCATGCACCCATCAACGTTGTAGTTCCTTAGTACCCCTGTTTTTTAAGACATAATCAATAGCCTAGATATCAAGAAAATACTTTTTTTAAATAACTTTTACACCTAATTATAATCTAACTTCAATTTTTTTGTAACTCATCTTGGCAACTGCCTATTCCAAAGCAAGCGGAGGAGGCAGAATTTAATTTTGAAATCCAGTCCGTCCCGCGTCCCCGTGCCGGAGCGAGTACGGTTTCCTTTGGAATCATCCGAGCTAAAGTTATGCAAAATACCTCGAAATGAATCAGAATATTCTGTCGAGGGGCTTCATTAGCCCAACGAACTGCATTTAAAACGTGACTCTCCTTATAATCACCTTAGAAATGCCGCCTCGCCCCGCGCTTCTTCCTCTCGTAATTCCTCACAGATCCCTTTTAAGCCGAAATTAATTTGCCTTCAAAATATATTTCAATTCCCTCATAACCCGGTAATTACTTTATTAAATGCGGAGTTTCTTTCCTCTCCCCCCCCGTGTTCTAGGGAGGGCGTTTCCAGCCCCGCACTTTCCAACTCCAATTAAAAACGAATAAGTTCGGCCCGTTTTTCACCAATTAATTAGCGTTAATTCCCCAAACAGATGCAAACTTCGTGTTTTGAACTCGACGGAAACGCCGGACCGGGCTAATGGCGTGAATTTGTTGCGTCTGATGAACATTCCCGATATCCGGTCGCCATTGGTGCGAATCAAAGCACTGGGAGATAAAAAATCTTTGACATTTTGTTACTTTTTAATTTTTTTGAAACCATTATGTATAATCAAACCTCGGATGAGCAGAACTTCCATTTTTTAAATTTAGTTTTTTTACACCATTATAAAGTCTGTTAGACCGTACTCTAAAAAAAACGTGAGCGCCATAAAATTGAAAAATACTGATCCCGACTCTGAACTGGAACCGTACCGCCTACATACCTTCTTGAAGTAGCCCCCATGCAGCCTCATATGTCCATTGAGCGCCGGTATATTCTTGAACTTCCTGTGGCACAGATTGCACTCCACCGGTTTCTGCTCCGGCTTCCCCGTTGTGGAGTTGACCGGCGACGTCGTGGGGGTGGTGGTGGTGACCTTGGACTGCGGACTGTGGGCTCCGCTGGCGATTGTTTTGTTCGACGTGCTCTGCTGCTGCTGCCCCCCCTGCGAACAGACACAGGATTATAACGGTGCAACATCAAGAGTCGTTTCGGTATGTGTTATTCAATCCAAAATATTATAGACGTAATATTTATAAAAAAAATGTGGCAATTAGGTTTTTATGTATATTATCTTCGTCTGTGTTACAATGAACTGTTTTCGGAATAAATAAGTGTTTGAAACGGGCAGCAACAAATTGTTTAATGTATTTAGTTTATTTAACTTTGCCAAAGTTCAAAATCTACTGAAAAGATTTAACAGAAAACAAATATTTATAGACCAGGAAATATAGAATAGGGCGAGACTTTTTGTTTCGGCAAGCTGAATTTATCACTATAGATGCTAAATATTATGTGCAATAACATATTAGTTTCCACAGTCATAAAATGGGGGGGGGGTAAAGATTGTTTACAGGGTGGTTAATTCTATAATATTTACGTAAATTCAGGTTTTTCGCTTATAACTTTTTTCCGTTCATTTCCACGAGAAAATAGTAATGCACTTTAGTTTTCGTCTTCAAAGGACCTACAGAACTAGCCCTCGACCGTAAAAAAATATTGATTAGATCAAAAGTTATAAACAGAAGAATTTTATTTATGACTTTGGAATTAAACCAAATTATTACCAGAACGTTTTGGCATCTCATCCTCTCATTTCTTATCACTGTCTAATAACTCACACGAAATCTAGAATCGTTGATAAGCTATTGACTATGTCAAAAAAAAAAGAGGGTTCAAAGGAACTACAACGTAACAGAAATTTTATTGTTTGATATGTTCAATTGACCCTAAAAAATGATAAAACCGCGGAGTGCTACCTTTTAAAGGGGTGCGTTTTTGAGAACGAAGTAAAAAGGTGGTATTTTCAGTTTTTTGAGTTTTACTCGAAAACTATGAATTTTTTCTAAATAGTTGTCAACGGAAAAGTTGTAGCAAATTGAATTTCCAATCGAAATGAGACCTTTTAAAGTCAAAAAAAAAATATTTTTAACAAAAAACGAGTAAAAAACCCCGAAAAATGCGTTTTTTTTGGTTTTTGGCCCACAACTTTTTTCTGAGAGGAGTTAGGTATAAGCATTGATTCATAGAAAAAAAAGTTAATGTTTTTTCCTTTAAAATATCCTAATCCTTTATAGAAGTACCTACGACTAATAGAAACCGAGATACATTGGATCAAAGTTGGCTACTTCTTGGATTTTTGGCCAATTTTTGCCCTTTTTTGATGATTTTCGTCTTATAACTTTTTTCTGAGTTAATTTAGGTATATGTAATGCCATATTCAAATGAAAGCTGGTTTCAAGACCTTTAAAATGGTGCCTGGTAGAAGTTTGTACAATTAAAATCAACCGAGATATGTCAATTTAACCAACGATACTTTTTTCTGTTTATAAAATTTTTATTACTTTCGGTATTATTTTGTCTAATAATTTATTTTTGTGAATGTGAAAGTTAAAATAAGTTTCTAGGTCTGTTTTTACTATTGTTTAAAAAACTGATTTATCTCGAAAACAGTTCATTTTCTTCATCTTCATCCATCTAAATAAATGAACAGTATATTTTTTAAAGAAAACTATTCAAAGTATTTAAAAATAATATTTGATGACCTCTGTCTAAAAAAAATATGTCGGTATGTACCGAATAAATTGAATATGGCTTAGGAATATTATCAAATACATTAAGAACATTATACCCAACGTTACTTTCCTCAAATTGGCTTGTCTTCGTGGTAGCTAAACAGACGACATGAATGCAGTTTTCATACCTAGTTGGAAGGAAGTCTTTTCTCTGTTGCCGTTCGACGTAAATAATGAGAACCATTACAATGAGCCTTTACTCAACTTTTGAGCCGAAATATGCCTTTTTGCAGAAAAGAAACCCTGGGAAACGCTTGTGGCAAGCGAGAATTATATTTCGTATTTAGTGTCCTTTTTGCGTTATTCAAACAAGGATAAAACAAACATTTGGATATATTTTTGGAAAAAAATACGCAATTCCCAATAGATTGATGTAATAATATCAATATTTTTCATAACTCGTAATCATGGTTGGGTTATGCGAACAAAAAGGTATTGTTTCACATTATGACGTAAAATGCCCCTGGTAATAATTAATTTTCATAAGTTATTGATTTTCGTAGAACATAATAATAATTTTAATTAAACGGCGAAATAAATTATTTAAATCACGGTTTAATCACGATTAGATACAAAGGAATGCAATGAAAGCACGCAAAAGTACAAACGTAAAGCAATTTATTGCAAAATTGAAAATATAAATTGAATGTGTATATACACCTCGCATCAAAATTAATGCATTTCCATTTGATTTTCTCATGAACGGCATTCTGATTGTGGTATTTTTTGTAATTATAGGTTTGTTGTTTAGTAACGATGTAAAACAAACATGTTTATTGTCAGTTTTTTGCATATACAAAGTATTAAATTCCAGAAACTGTCCATAAAATAGTTGTAGCAGATATATGAACTGTTAAAAAACAGTTGAGATTTATTCATTTCCCCAGCACAAGTTACTATTAAATGACAGACTTTCAATTTCACTTAAGGAAACTTAGGAAACCACATAATTACACGTTTCTTGGCAAATTTTACGAAAAAATGAGTTGAGTTAGATTTTTTTTAATATTTCAGCGTATATTTTATTATTTATTAAATTTACTAACATATTACGAAACTTAATTATTCTATTTCATACTAAGACTAAGATGACATGGATATAAAAAATACCTGAGGAATCCTGTAGCCATAGTAGTAGCTCCAATAGTTCATAGTCACCGAATTAAACCCAAAAACTTATCACATTTTACGGTTTACGTGAACAGACCCTCAACGGTAATGAACAACACCGAAACGCTAGGTTTATGACATCATCTATTTTCAACTACTAAAGTTTTCATATTAAGTCTTACATTAAAAGGGGATGAATCTGTGGAAGGTGGCTATCTCGTGACGTCACGTTTGGTCCAGATAACCGGATTAAAACTAATGCCGCCGCCAGTGGCGTACCGCAAACATTAGAAACAACCAGAATAGAAACAAGTACTTAGATGCGAGGATATCTTTCGAGAAGAGATTTGCACGAAATTCGCATTAATGTTAGGAAGAATGACCAGGTTTTTGTGGTGTTGAACTTAAACAATTCTTACTTATATTTTTGTAAATTTTCCTATTAATATCACACCATCAATTATCGAATTTAAAATCGATATTTTTACAGAATTGTAAATTGTGCTTAAAAATTAAACGTTAATTCTTTTCAGTGTAGGTTTATATCACATACAGACATTGTGCTACTAATATAGAAGCATATTTCATATCTAGAGTGTCCTTGAGACCTAAATACAGTTAATTAATGTCCGTTGATTAGCTACGATTGTTCAAGATAGGGAATTGTCACTCTAGGTGAGTAGGATAATTCGACAAAGCTTGCCCGAGATCTACTTCCACAACTAAAACTGAAACCAAGTACTAGTATTACGTTTATTTAATCTACACCGTTCGTATTTTCGACGCCACTGGTAAGATTTCGTTGAATTTTTTACCGAGCAACAAAAGAACAACTGATTCGACGCTTTAAAAAAAAAACAACCTGTTTGTGATTGTGAAAAATCCAACGTACGCCCATGTGTCGCGTCCGCGTTAGCCGTGTCGTCCGAGGGATGCTGTGAGAACCGAGTGACCTCCGACCTCCGCGTTCCTCCGGAGTGACCGCCGAGCAGGGGCGCCAACCCCCTACCCCCCTCGTCGACGTCTCAACTCCTCACCGCACTTCCCACCCCTCCAAGAAGGGTTGGATGTGCTCGCTTAAACTGTGTAGTGATTAATTGTTGCGTCTCATTTAATTCCAGACCGACTGAACGTGCCTTTCGGTCCGCAGAAGAATTCGGACCGAGCGTTTAAATAGAGTGGAGAGGGTTGAGGGAGAAGTGGTTATCTTTAAACGAGTTTTTTTTTCATGATGACGTCAATCTATGCTTGTTTATTATATTGTGTTTGGTACCGTCTACGAATAACGTCTTCTGTTCTGTTTATTGAGTAATTTGTAATAAGAAATCCGGCTCGAAGGACCAAAGACTTTGACGCTTGTGAATAGATCAAAGAAATGCAGTCAAAAACAGTTTTTGTACGTGTTCTGTAGGTTGGTTTTTAGTAGCTGCAGTAAAATTTCAATCAGTGAATGCAAAAAAGTTCTAGTTCTTTCCATGAAATTATTATGCAATGTGTGGTATTTCGTTTTATTGCCGAAACAAAAAGTCGCGTCCAACTCTATATTTCCTGGACTACGTAGTTAATTCTCGACATTTATTTCGGATACACCATATATACATCCTGGATTCTCTTTGACGCGAAACAAATTTTAATTGCGAATTATCCCGCTCTCCCCAGCGCTAATTAGCTTTTTTAAATTACCACCACCGGCAATATTTCCGTATACCCCGCGCGAAAAGCTCCTCTTCTTCTTCTTCTTCTTCTCCTTCTTCGTTTCGTTTTAACTTCCCTAATTATTTGAACTACTTAGTTTCGGGCCAGCGGGATAGTGAAAAGAAAGTTGAAAGGAAGCGGAATCTAATTCGGGCGAAAAAGAGATTAAATATTTGACAAGAGCTGAAAGTTTCACTAGGGCGAGGGTCGTCGAGGTTGGCCAGCGACGCTTATTAGATTTTTTAATTAGAAATTCTGAGGTTTGTGGAATACGTTGAAATAATCGAGGCGGGCGGTTTCTTAATTATTTTGTTTCGTTAAGGCGGATCTGTCGACGCAATTTAAGCCACGACCTACTTCTAAATGTACGAGATCATTTACATAACATTATATCGTCGTTGCGATACGAACACAAATTAGTTGTTTACTAGAAAACTGTTTGTTTTTGTGGTTATTTCGGCTGCTTGTCGCTTTGAAAACAACTCGTGTGTTTTTGTGTACCCCCAAAAGCCAATCTTTGACGAAATTAACCCGTAACCGCTACGAAAGCGATAGCAGACACGCAGACAGTTCAAAGTCGTTATACGTCTGGAGGAGAGATCAGAACCAGCCATTCTTGCCACGGCGCGGCGGTTATTAATTTCACTAAGTCAGTATAAATATACAACCGGAGGAGACAAAGAGCGCATTTAGGTATACACGAGATGATTATAATATTCGCAATGGCAAATACCACGAATACTCCAAACAGCATTAATCCGTTTTGTTGCTTTTGTGCCCGCGCCTACCCGTTTTTCATTATTCTCCGTTGGAATATGAATAATTTCGGGTGAAATGTATGCGATTCGCTTTAATTAATACCCCACCCGCCATTGTGTGTCCTAATTAATTGAACGCGGCCGTAAATATTACGAATTCGTCAAAGTGGGGATTATTATACTACATTTATTGTGCCATTGGAAACGGAGATCGGCCATTTTAATGCCCCTACCGGCTAATTGGAGTGTCGGCTCGGCTCGCGGGGCCCCCCTACATTTTTCCCCGGCGAAAAATACTAATTAATTTATATCTTTGGATAAGCTGTTTACCGCCCCGGCCAATTAGCTAAACATAATTAATATTCGAGTGCCTAATTAAAATCCGCATCCCCAAGAATCTGAATTGACAGCCTACGGTTCGTTTCTGGGAAAACACTGACGTTCTGTTCCGTTGAAGTCCATAAGTACACAGTTAATAGGAGTTTTTCGAGAATTATACCCAGGTGACATTGTAAACGAAGTAATTGGATTAACAGAATTGTGTAAAATACCCCCACCCTTGAACCAATATGCTCATAATTTTGTCAAGGGGTTATGCTACAGATTCTATTTCTTTTGGTTTAAAGATGAAATATTTGTTAAACACATTTTCGATTCAATCTTGAAATAATTAGACCGATCGATTTAGGACTCATTTAGAGGAAAAAAAAAAGAAAATTGTTACCTGGACTTTTGTAAGTGGAAATGGTAAAGGGGCTTATAATAAACGAAAAAAATAAATAAATGCGTGAAAATTGTACCATTGGGATTTTTGGCGAAAGTTGACGTCAAACAAAAAAGTATCCAATACATAAGTTGTAAATCGTGCAAAAATCTGCAACTTTTGTAACCACTTTTTAAGATAACCTCAAAATTTCCGAAAAAATGGGAAAAACAGTTTTTTTTCTGATTTTTCGTTTTTTATTTTTCATTTCCGCGAAAATAATTTAATTTTGACGAAATTTGGTGAAAGTATACCTTTCTCTGTCGTAAATAACCACAATTTTTTTTTTGACAAAAAATCAAAAAGTTTCCGAGATATTCCTTTTTTCCGGTCTGAAACACTTTTTCTTCAAAGAAAAATTCTACTTAGAAAAATCATCGTCTGCCGGTGTACATTTTTTTCGTTTTGACATATACTTTTTGGTGAAATAAAAAATCTGTAATCACAGTTCAAAAACATGCTCAAAAACGCAAAAAAAATAAAAAATGACTTGCAACAATGAATTTTTCAGTAATTGTTGATAATTTGTTTAAATTTAAAAAAAATCAAAAACTGATTGTACCATTCAATTGTACGGAAAAAATACAAAAAAAAACTGTCTCATTGTTTGACCCAAAACTTTATTTTTGTACAGTATTGCTATAAACATCCAAGTCGAATAGTGAATAAATAAAATAAATAATATTTTTTTTTCCGTAAGATCAAATAATGTACTTATTTTTTTTTTAATTTTGACGAATCCATAGATATACAGTGTGTCCAAGATAAGGATAGGACAGCATTAGGTAAGAGATACGGGGTGGCTCAAATTAGAAAAAAGTTTTTTTATACCTAACAATATGCCGTTTAGAAAGTTTTAAAATTCCGGGTAGTTCCGGAGATATCCGGAAAAACCCAAAATTTTGCAAAATTGTTTAATTTTTTTCTGGCTTTATTTGAAAACGAATTTTAAAATAAATTGCATATTTACAATGCCACTTTTTTCGCTCCATACAATGGCGTCGACATTTTTGCAATCCGACGTTTCGTCGTCGAGGTGTCATCATCGGGTTAATTTTTTTAAATACGTCGCTGTTATTTTTATGACAAAATCTAGTCATTTTTAATTCTGAATTCGAAGACGATACGTCGGATTGCAAAAATTTTGACGAAAAAAGTGGCACTGTAAATATGCAATTTATTTTAAAATTCGATTTCAAATAAAGCCAGAAAAAAAATAAAACAATTTCGCAAAATTTTTGGGTTTTCGGATTTCGCGTCAACAGTAGACTTTGCAGTTAATACTTTGTATTGCTGAAATCTCAAATCATCCAGAGATAATTTATCATTTGTGCATTTGTAATTCGACTTAGATGTTTATAGCAATACTGTACAAAAATAAAGTTTTGGGTCAAACAATGAGACATAGTTTTTTTCCGTAGAGTTGAATAATGTAATCAGTTTTTGAATGTTTTTTAATTTAAACAAATTATCAACAATTATTGAAAAATTCATTGTTACAAGTCATTTTTTACTTTTTTTTGCAATTTTGAGCATGTTTTTGAACTGTGATTACAGATTTTTTTATTTCACCAAAAAGTATATCTCAAAACGAAAATAATGATTACCGGCGATGATTTTTCTAAGTAGAATTTTTCTTTGAAAAAAAAGTGTCGGGCCGAAAAAAATGAATATCTCAAAAACTTCTTCATTTTTTTTATCTAAAAAAAATTGAGGTAATTTAAGACAGGGAAAGGTATACTTTCACAAAGTTTCGTTAAAATTAAATTATTTTTGCGGAAATGAGAAATAAAAAACAAAAAATCAGAAAAAAACCTGTTTTTCGCATTTTTCTCGGAAATTTCGAGATTATCTTAAAAAGTGACTTCTACAAAAAATTTTAATTTTTGCATGCTCTACAACTTTCGTATTTGATACTTTTTTGTTTGACGTCAACTTTCGCCAGAAATCCCAATGATACAATTTTTCACAACTTTTCAACCCCCCAAATCAACCCTCCGCCGCCCCTGCTCACGCATTTATTTTCTTTAGGTTTATTATAAGCCCTTTTACCATCGTCACTTATAAAAGTCCAGGTAACATTTTTTTTTTCTCCAAGTGTAATTTGGTTGGACTAAATTACTTAATTTTAAACGTAATTTATTTGTATGATCAGTGAAAGCAATTTTAAAAATCTAGTAAACACACCTAGGATATAAGCCATTAAAGATGCTGGAATCATTCATAAGTCCCAAGCCTGATCCTAACTCTGTTTACTAGATTCCTAAACAAGTCCCTGTCTAATAGATTACACTTTTTGGCTGTTATAAGACATAAGCTTCCCTTAAGTGCACTAGTTTCTTTCAAACAGTTTGGAAATCACCATAAAGACTTGAGGAATATAATCTACACCAAATAGTGGTCAAATGGAAGGCAAAACCTTTGTTTTCCAATTCGCATACCTAAAAAGAAAACAAGCACATGCACTCACCGTCGACGTCCACGCTGCCTTGCCCTGGGTCTTGCTGGAGGTCTTGGCGTTGGATTTGGCGGCGGGCTTGGAGGCGGGTTTGCTGGAGGCGGCCTGCGACTGCCTCTGGGTCTGCTCCATTATCTGGTGGATCAGGTCCAGCTGTTGTTTGGTTAGCCCGTCATTGTTGCTGCCGCTGCCGCTCTGTAACGCGAAATAATTAGATCTCTAGCGTTGTTTAGGGGCGGCATTCGTGATTTCGGCCGGACAAATATTGGTCGACAGCGGACTTGATTCCGCCATTGCCGATTGCGTTATCTTAATCGGCTTAGCTTTAGATGGGCTGGGATAGAGGAAATCCATTCGGTACGGGGCGAAGCGCCGTTTCTAAAAACACTTGGTGCTCCAGAAGTAATAATTTCAAACTTTTTCATTAGAAGAAAACAGTCTTAATAAACAAAGGTGGAAAATGCCTTTCTTGAGAACACACAATCAATGGTTTGTAGGAAATATAATTAGAATTTTTGAATTCAGTAATCATCTTGGTATTTTGGTGCGAACAATATTTAATGCTCTGTTACTGAGACATCGAAATTACAATTTTAAAGGTACAAGGAATAAGATAATAAGAAACTAATTTAAATTCAATCAGAAACAGATAAGACCTCGCAAACTTTAGACAACAAAACTTTATACAATAAAATGTTACAAAAAGTTACAAGTAACACATTTACTTCAGTACCAATGAATAGTTTAATGTTGGAAGGATACAACGATATTATAAAAAACATATTCGAGCTAGAGAAGTTGTTGGAGAAGGTTCTAGTCCAAAGTAGAAGAGAAAGATCCCAATACTGAACTGGTTGATTGACCAAGGAGTTTACAATCGGTTATGTATGGCCAGAAAGAACAACCTCTTCTTACTTGCACCATTAACGACAGAAAAGGCTTAGGAGGCGGCCGAAAATTTAAAAAATTAAATGAGTTTTGGATATACAGCTTCTAACGGATGGGTACAAGAATTCTGTTGATAACACAGCTGAAGTTGACCTAGATATATTGAAGTATAAAAACCAAAGCTACACATAATATTGCACAAAATATTCAGAAAAATGTGTACGGTCCTGACAAAAGCGAACTTTTTTACCTTGCATTGTGTTAAATATGACTTAACGGAAAGGGAAATTGATTTTTCTGGTGAAGAAAAATATTTTCCTCTCAAAGCATCGAAAGCTGCAGAAAGTGCAGTCAGAACTCACTTGTCAAAAATCTGATGGGAAAGAAAACTTCTAACAATGTGTTACTGGTTTATTTTCGATCTATGAAATTTGCTAGGAGGATAGGCGCTTGCAAAAGCTCGCAAATTTTCGTTACATGTTCAAAATTTTCAGTATTAAATAAAAAGTACGAATTTGACTGAAATTGGATGAAACTAGAGGAAAAGATATCTGTGCTCAATAAATACCCGCAATCTGGACCCCCCAATTTCAAAATGGCGGCCTTCTACAAAATTAGAAAGTCGAAAATGCGAACGCGTCTATCTTCTTACCAAGTCAAGATATTGAAATTCGGTAAAAAAGAATCGAAAGATAATTACATTATCTCGCGTACGAGTAAATTTCAGATTTTGAAGTTGCAAAAGTTATTAACAAAAAACCAAAAAAAACGGTAACTAGGATCCTTATCTCGGCGGTTTTTTAATATACAGTTTTCAAACCAGTTACATCAAATAGTTCTTAAAGAAACATGAATTAAAAAAAAGCATTTCGATCCGACCAATGGGAGCCGAGATAATTTTTTTTATTAAAAACTGTATTCCGGCTACTATTTAATATTTTGTAATAAACTTGGGCTCGTTGTAAAGTAAAATACTTCTTTTATACGCTAATTTTTTTGAATGGATTCGACAAGAAATGACTAACAAAACCACCAAAACCAGAATGAGAGGCGGCCCACGCGTCTTAACGGTAGCCAGGAGAGGGGAGCTCTGTGACGTCATAGTGCCCTTGCTGCGCTCGCCTTCTCAAAATTCTTACTTAACAAATGGATTGTGCTACTTAGAAAGCAGCTACCGGGATGCTTTTCTTTAAAATCGAGTCCCCTATAGTTATCTTTTCCTGTAGTTTTATCAAATTTCAGTCAAATTCGTTTTTTTTATTTAATGCTGAAAATTATGCATATTTTTTCTAATTTTGCAATGTAAAAAAAATTGCGAGCTTTTGCAAAAGCCCATCTTTGCATAAAATTTCCCCAGAAACAAAAGAAATATAAGCAAACAACTGAAAAAAAGCATTTTTTTTCGTTTGTTATAAACAGTGTGACGCTCGACCTCTACAAATATACAAATTTGGGCTTTTATTCTGTGTGTTTTTTACTTAATTTTAAGCCCATAATTTTGGTCTAATTCGCCCGGATTCATTTGAGTTACAAAATTTGTTCAATTGAATTGAATTTATTTCAAAAATAAGTAGTCAGTAGACAGCTGTGTGAAAATACTTTTTGCTCTAGAACAAACTTTCCAACTGACTCAAGCGGCGACACTTAAGAGACATAATTAAAATGTCGACATTTTTATTCAGTTCTCGAACGATGTAATATTGACGACATTTATAATATTATGGGTACCTCGTACATCCTCCAGGAAGGAAAATATTCCGATTCCGTCACCGAACCCCCGATTTATGTATTTTTTTACACAAATTGCTAAAACGTATGATGTACGTGCCGGCTACAAATCGAAACCCAGTGCATTTTCCAGTCGCGCAAATTGCATTTCAACCGCCGATCGGACACGTGCTTTCGGATTTATCGCCGCCCCCGAAAAATTTACGGGCGGGCGGGGGAAATAATCCCATCTAACTGAGAACTGGAGATCGGCGATTGACGCAAAGTGGGACATTCCTCATACGCGACTTAATATTTAAAAGTCTCCGTCTCCGGACAGCTTGATGTATGTACGGAGGTATGTTCGAGCATTATTACTGGGATTACCGTGGAGCCCTAGCCGGCACTGACATTATTTCCTTAAGCGTTACAAATTACAACCTTCGGGGGTGATTTAAGCCCAGGTGTATTTTTCTCCGGGAAAAAGTTAACTCTTCACGAACAGGGATAAATGCCCGGACATTTCTCTTCTTAAGGAAGCGAGCAGTTAGCCGCCCCGCTCGAATTTTTATTGTTATTGTAAAGTTGGCGGCGTGTGTTAAAAGTTACTGCTGGTTTTATAAGTCCTAAATCCTCCCTCCCCCCGGACGGGCAGTTTGACTTCTGAGTTAAACACTTTTTCGATGCTTCAAGTCTTCACAATGTACCACATAGTTGTTTACGCTACGTATCTTCCATCGTGCTCCTTCTCTTAACTTTATAATGGGGAAGGGTATGAAAAATGATAATATCAAAAAAGTAATTCGAGAGAAATGACGATGAAAGTTAGAAATTTGGAAATAAGCTCAGGGTCAGGCAAAAGCCGCTCGGGAATTCGCTCTTTTTATATTAAATAGAGCTTATTTTTACGGTGATTTAAAGAAAAAGGGGCGATTTAAAAAAAAGAAATGACCTACGCCTCTCTGTTCCCTTTTTATAACCCCCCCCCCCCCATAAAGTGCAAATTGTCTACTAATAATTTTTTCATTCTAAGTAGGAATTCTCATGGATTACCAATCAGCGTAGGTAACTACATTGCACGATTGGCCCTGTCGACTAAAAATCCCTAAACCCCAGCAGAGTGGTTGAAGGGCTTACAGATGTACGAAAATACACTGTACCATCATTAAACCCAAAACGAAACGCGGTGTCGATATATTTGGCCATTCTCGTATAGTGGTTTGGTCTTCAAGTGAGAACAACTCTAAGTAGCATGGAAAACTTTATTCTACTAATTTCGCTGGTAACACGAGTCACAACAGAGCAGGCTTCAAGACTTCTGGTTCGTACCGCGAAATGTTTTCGGTTTTTATCCTTGTCCCCAGGTACCTACTTTTATTACCCCATCCTAATTAACACTTATCCGGGTCATTACCTACTCGGTTTGTGCTTATGTACCCTAATAAACAACAACTAATTTATGTTTACAGCCTACTTATTCTAATCTCATTTGCTAAATACATTTATTTGGGATAATCTCGGATAATTCAAAGTATAATTTATATGGCTCGTAAATTCCCAGAAAGCAAAATATATTTATTGGGGCTGGTACTAAATGTAATTGTCGCGTACCGTTACACTCGTTTCGCCAAATTTTTGTTTTTTAACCGTTTATCATTCCTTGTCGTATCATATTTCAATCGTGCAAATAATGATTAAGCACGTGCTGCTGAGAAACTATTGTTCGCGCTTTCATACAGAACCGGACTTGTATCCCGATTTCATTCCACGCGTATTATTCAGGGTTTAATTTTGTTGCTGTTTTATTTATTTCGTGTTAGTTTAAGATGTTGGGAAACGATTCGGCTGTTGAAATGGTTGAATAAAAAGAAAATGAAAGAAGAGAAAAATATCTTGCTCTAGAGCTGTTCGTTTGAAGTAAACAGCATTTGTTTTACACACATGGAACAGCTAAAGTATTTTTTTGGTGAGTGTTCTATACTAAAGTAAAATTAAGTGTTTGAGCATGACTGCATCTCATTTGATATGACTTATATTTGACATTTCGTTTGACATTTAAAATTATTGAGTTGAATTTAGGTTTGATAGATTTTTAACATTAAACGAAAAAAAAATACCTCAACTGTTGTATTATCGTGAGGCTTTTTAAAAAATCATAAAAATTGTCCTTTGCTGCACATACAAAAAGTCCTGGAGAGTACAAGCTTCAATGCATCGCTATTACAGGGTTAAAGATTCTATCTACTAGTACCGCCTCGAACATAATTTTTTTTTAAACGACTTACCTTAGCGGGGTCGGTGGCGAGCAGCTGCTGTAATTGACTCTTGCCGGCGGACGACGTCGACGCCGACGACGACGACGCCGTGGATGTGGGCGGCGGCGCGTACTGGATGCAGCTGGAGCCGTGCGGCGACGCTGCGTCACCCGAGGCGGCCCCCTGGGCCGGCGACATGGTGGTGGACGTAGTGTTCGCCGCCGACGAGCTGTGGTGGTTCTCCGTGTGCCGCCGCAGGGAACGCGCGTCGCAGTAGCTCTTGCCGCACCCCTCGGCCTTGCACTCGTACGGTTTCTTGTTGCGGTGCGTCAGCATGTGCCCGTTTCTGTAACAGAAACAACCAAAAACTTTGCGCGTGACCTTGATATAATTGTTTTAAAAGAGGGGCCCGAGTACAGATCCTTGAGGAATTTTAAACTCAAAATTTTTTTGATAACGATGTTCATGTCTGTGACGCTAAATGATATTGTGACAATGTGTTAGTTTCCAATTTATGACAGAAATCAACGATGCGATGAGCTCGGCCCCATTTACATGTTTTATTTTTGACATAAACCTGTACAAAACATTGCCTTTACGACCTGTTCGGTACAACCGGTGGTAATGCAATAAACGAAGGTGTTACAGCACCGTGACCGACACGTAATAATAATATTAATAAAAATATCTGTGACTCGTTCGCGACGCGTCGCTACTAAATTTTTCATTTTCATTTTAACAACTGCGTCATAAAATTACGTCCATTTAGACACCGGGATAACAAATGGTTTATTGGAAACTGCAGCTGCCGTGTTGTTTTGTATATCTATCTATTTTTTATTGGACTGTAAAACGTGAAATATAGAAACGCTTGTTTTTTTTTGTTCGTTTCAAATGACGGCGTCCGATGATTTTATTGTAATCCATTTCTGCAGTCCATATAACTCGGCGTACTATTAAATTGTTATTGATACGGAAAAAGTTGGAAAGAGGGGCAATTTTTATGTGTATCGTTCTAGCTCGTTACAAAAGACAGAGAATTGTTTTAGATTAAATATATTTTTTAGTAGGGGATACTTACAAATGATCTTGTCTTTTGAAAGCTTTCCCACACATGCTGCAAACGTATTTCCTCTCATCGCTGTGCGTCAATTTGTGCTTGGCCAGCGCCGAGGCGTTCCCAAAAACTTTGGCACAAACCTGAAATAAAACTTTACTTTTAATTTTCTTCTATTTCCTTTGTACCACCTTTGACTTAATACAAGTTAGGGTTAATTTATCTTTATAGACCTTATAGATCTTTATAGACCGTAAAATTCAATGAGACTCCATGACAGATTTTGTTAACCCCAGCTTTACTTTGCAACATTCGGCTGAAGACCGCAATGATACTAAATCTGAAAGCCTAAAATATCTTGTACGGATAGAAAAATAAAAATTCCTGGGAAACACGACCTCGAAAAACTGAACTATAACAATAGGGACGTCGATTTAATAACGTAAACGCAAACAATACCGCCGCTCTGTTGGATATACGGTCAATTTCTTCCAGGGCGTTGTCCGGCCAGATTGTGATGCCGAAATGTTATATTACAAATTCCATGAGTGAGCAAGGCATGTGATTCGAGTTTGATATATATTAGGGGTTGTTCCGGATATAGCAGAGGCCTACGGCAGCGACACGACGAGCTGCAGGCACTGCGGAACAATGGGGGAAATATTAATAGTAAACATGCTGCCAAACGAATAAATGGCACGGTTTTTTGTTGGATAGAGCTTAATACGGATACATGAAGATTTTAAGGTCCAATACAGAGTTACAAAATGTTACAATAGTGCGACTGGTGATTTCAACAAACTTTTTTTATTTCTTCCTTCGATTAAATAAATATAATTGTTTTCATTTCACCTAAAAGCTTTTGGAGAGGCAGACCTACGGGTCTATAATTTTTGACATAAATAAATGGTCTTCCAATAATGCCAGTTCAAAACAGAACTGGTCCAAGAACTGATCCTTGTGGTATTCTAACGTTATTGGTTTGTGTTTTGATTAATATTGTACATTACTCTAGAGTTTTATAAATAAGAATTGTTTCCCCAAAGCTTGCATTATTCCCATTTAAGTTTCTCTAATATTTCTTAATAATGCATATTAAGTAAACAAATTTGTTTGATATGGTGACATTTTTTATTCAATTTACGTCTATTAAAATGTCATTCCGTTTTATTATTCTCCCTTTCCTATTTAAAACTGCACAATATTTCCCCTGCTGCCTTTTTCCTTTCATATCGTACACATAATAATGAAACAAAATAAAAAATAAACACGGGATTCATTTCCCGTCCTCAAACAAACTCCTCCGCGTCCTTTTCCCCAACTAATAATGTTTATTAAATGGAAATTTCTCTTTATCCGCTGGGTTTTCATTTGTCTGAATTTGCTTTATTGCAGCCGGGTAATTTATACGATTTTTTCCGAGAATCTCGCGTTGTGAATTAAAGAACTCGGTTCAGTGAATCAAAGATAAAATTGAGAAAGTCTTACCTGGCACTGCTGGGGACCCTGTCGGTTTGGCGAGGTGGGCTTAGGTCTGGACCGCTTGGCGGACACCTTCACCAGTTCCGACGTGCTGCCCGGCTTCTTATCATCCGCAGTCGTTGTTGATACTGAAACAAAACAACGTTTTATTTTTCGCTGGTCTTGTGTCTAATTTCATACATTTTTTCATATTTTTACATCATTACCTGGAAGTTCGATAAAAGTTCAATTAAATACCCGCATTATGTCAATTCTGACGTATATGTTTGCCTGTTTTTTATTTACTTCCTTAAATTATCTGTAAATATCATAGAACCGTATTAGGGATATACAGGGTGGGCCATTAGTGTGAGAAAGTAAAGAAACTCCCTTGTTATTCATAATACAGAAAAAAAGTTTATATAAAAGTTGTACAGAATGAAAAAAACCTAAAGGACAAATTAATTTGAAACATACAGGGCGATGAGTAAAAACGGGACAAGCCAAATATTACATTTTTTAAATGGAACACTCTGTATATTTTTAAACATATGGATTTCTAAGAAAATTCTGTATATGGCAATATAAACAGTTTAACATTTTATTGCGGGGTTGCCAAGTTATGTAGAAAATTCTTCGAATTTTGGAATAAACATGACTTCGAAGAAGTTGTATTAACTTTCAACAAATGTTAGGTAAAGTCTCCTATATTAGCTAACATCGGTATTTTATACAGGGCATTTTTTATAATACGATCATTGTTAGAAAGTTCAAACTTGATTTTCTAAAATTTTTCAAATAGAACACCCTGTATTTTATTGTTGTATTTTATTCACATATCAGTCCACTTTAACTTTTATTATGTATGTTCTACACCTAAATTTGTTAATTTTTAAGATATAGCAACATTTCTGGAAAAACCTAAATTTTATTATTTTCGGTCTCACGAAATGGCTTTGGAAAAAACTGGCACATTGTGTCAACTTGTCAGTTCATAATTTATCGTCATTTTCAGTAAATTTTTTAGTTAGTTAAATTTATTAGTTGGTATTCTATAAAATAATAAAAATTAAGTTTTTTCAGAAATGTTGGTATATCTCAAAAACTAACAATTTTAGATATAGATCATGCTTAATAAAAGTTGAAGTTGACCGATATGTGAATAAAATAGAACAATAAAATACAGGGTGTTCCATTTGAAAAATTTTAGAAAATCAAGTTACTAAAAATGGTCGTATTATAAAAAATGACCTGTATAAAATATCGATATTAGCTAATATGGGGGGGAGCCTTGGTCTAACATTTGCCTATAGCTCTGTCTAATTATTTTGTTCCAAGTGTTAGTAGCTGAAAATTAATACAACTTCTTCGAGGTAACATGTTTTTCCAAAATTCGAAGAAATTTCTACATAACTTGGCAACCCCGCACTAAAATAAACTGTTTATATACAGAATTTTCTCGGAAATCCATATGTTTAAAACTATACAGAGTGTTGTAGCCCTGTATGTTTCAAATTAATTTTGTAGTATAGGTTTCTTGATTCTGTACAACTTTTATATAAACTTTTTTTCTGTACTATGAGTAACAAGGGAGTTATTTTACTTTCTCATACTAATGGCCCACCCTGTATAAACTAGAGAGAATTATCTATAATCGACTAAGAATAACGCCAAACATATTATAGGAATTTATAATACAATGCGAATATTAGAGCAAATATTTTGACATACAAATTGCCTTTGAATATGTTTATTGTTTATTCTAATTTAGGAAAACACAAAATTCCTACAAACTGAAACGTGTACAATATTTGTCTCAATATTCTTACAAACTGTAGATGTAGATCAACAACTACTGTTCTACTGTGGAGTCAATAACACTGCCTATAGGATTTATATCAGGTGTTCGAGGCGGCTTATCCAAGGATTTGAATAAGTTTCGTTTGAATTTTGTGTTGTTGGCTAAATATAAGCTGAGCTCTCGCATCTAGAGGTATGTACATAATCAAGAAATACTGGAAGTACAATTTATTTTTGGTGAATAATAAAATAGTAATTATAAGACATATTTTTCCGTGTAATTTTTGTATCTGTTTGTCGTTGCCCCCTCGAATATAGCCCACTTCCGCCCAATAAATGAATAAAACAGTTCGGCTATCATTAAACGTCTAAATCGGGATGGAATCAGGCCTCGTCAAACATTCAAATTTATTCATAAAAATACGAAACAGCGATCCGCGCCGCGCGAGTAATGAAAATTTCAGTGTCCGTTCTCGGGCCTTCGCTTTACATATTGTAGTTACACGGCTGAAAATTTTATTAAATTAGCATTTAATTCGCCATTAATGTTTTTACGTCCGCGCTCGCGTGTGCCCGTCCGGGCCGGTGGGCGCCGTGACCGTCGGCTCCCTGGGGACCGGCGGAAGGGTTGCCGTTCCCGGATACGGTCTCTGTGTCCTGGAGGCTATTAAAATGGTACTTTATGCGGCCTGACGGCTGTATTCTCCCTTCTTTACAAGCTCTAGATTAACGCCGCTACACACGTGTTCCTCATTACCAGGGAAATTAACAACGTCCATTTTTTTGCAAATTATAATGTACAGAGTGTCTAAAATTTTGCTTCCTTAAAGAGTTACAGACTAAAAATTTGACGTAGGGTACCTAAAGGTGGAGGTTTTGCATATCATTGTTAATCGCAACTATCAAAGCGACAATAAAGTATTTGGCCACCAATGATGAGCACTACCCAGAAACCGCAAAGTTACATCCTTTACATTTATTCACAGGTATTTTTATCTTACAATTATCTAAAGAATCACCCCTTTATTATCAGAACGCAGCACCCTATTCAACGGTAGGTACTGCTGTTTCGATCCTTCACCTGGTCCAGCCGGCAATTAACGAAATGCAGACATAAAACATTAATTGATAGGCTTAATATTGACGAAGTTTCCGTATGTGCTAATTAAATTTATGGCCAAATTGATTCTGGACGCGGGAATCGATAACATCTCACTAATTAATGCAACAGCGGTTTACGTTTAATGGGTGGTGGATATTTTGTTTGGAGGGGTGCGGGGAGGAGGGTTCAGTATTATTTGAGACCGCGCCGGCTATTTTTGGAACCAGGACGGTTAGCTTAATTGACGGTTTTGATTGCATAAATAGTAGCACGAATGTAAAGCCTAGATTTCCCGTGTTAGAAATAGCAAATAAAGGATACCGCCATTCGACGGACATTTTCTGTTTACAGGGTGTTCCGTAGAGGTTGGACCGTTTGATTGCAGACACCTGGGAGCAAAATAATATAATAAAGCAACCTAACCTACATATACATTTCGATGTTTTTTAATATCACACTAAAACTGTTTTAACTAGAAACTGTTTATTTAGCACATATTTTTATTTGAGTAAAATATATAGGTAATATATTTCTTCGATATGTAAGTTGCAACATGTTATTCATTTTGGAGTACCGAGTACAACTATTTAATTTATCTTTTTTTGGTTTCACCTGATACGTCTTGGTCACTTCGATCAGAACTATTTTAGAGTAGCAAAAGAACACTTTGTAGAAAAAAGATGATGTCAAGGAACTTCTTTTGAGCCAGATACGTCGAATGTAAAATATATGTACCCCTTGTGGAATCACAGAAAATCCTTATGAACAAAAATGTAGCTTATAAATAAACAAAGAAAATCGTTTTAAAAAGTGTTGTACGTCCCATACAAAACGAAACATGTTTAGTGGGAGGGGACTTGTTTTGGGGGGAATACGCTAATCGATGTATTCAACGTCATATAACGGAAAAAGGATAAATTTTACGTGTATAACGCTCCTGGAGTTTTTTGTAGTACTCAAAAAGACCTTCAAAATGAGCACTTGTAAAAGTTAATTAGAGCAAAATTGAAAGAGTTATCATCAAAAACAGATGGGATGCTCATATTTTTTAAGGAAAAATGAGCAGTAAACGTTGTACCATTTCCATCAGAATTAAAATTAATCGTATTCCCTTTACAATTAGTTTTGTTTTAGTGCTTATCATACGATCCTGAAGTTAGACCGGTTTAGAATGTATTTTTTGAATAATATACGGTAAAAGTTGAAAACGTATCTTTCATTATTCCAAAAAAAATTGCCTTATTTATATAATAATTCTGAAACTATGAAAGATACGTAAAAAATATAGCTTTTTTCAACAAATATTTTGCTTTTTTTTATTCCTATAGCATAAAAAATAAAGATATCGCCGCTTGAAGTATCCATTTTAGTGAAAAAACGACCTGCCTCTAGCCCTTCGATCATTTCTCTTTAAAAAACGAAGGACTTAAGAGGTTTTATATGCAAACGATCTTACAGCTCTTGAAATTATCTTTAAAATGTTTTTTTTTGTAGGATACTATAGCTTTAAAATTAACCGAGTTATGGTAAAAAACCAATGACATTTTTTTGGAGCAAAATGTTAGGATTCAAGTGCGCGTCAGCGTGTATAAAAGTTTATATGCAGCATAGCAATTCCTTTTATGATTGATTATATTTAAAAATCGATTATAATAACATATTTTACAATAACATTGGTAAATGGGTAGTTTATAAGAGTAATGGCAAAAGTAAAATATTCTTTCATAAACAATATAAGGGAATTTTTATTTTAAATTATTGCTCAATTATAGCATTCCAAGATTTAAAACGTAATTTTTTTATAATTTTTTTAGCATAGGGGTGATTTATAAGGGTTGAAAAGCGTGATGAGATACAAATTCTTTCATAAGCAATGAGGGAATTTTTATTTTAAATAATTGCACCGTTAAAGCATTCCAAGCTTTTAAAAAGTTATTTTTTTATAATTTTTGTCAATATAGGGTTGAAAGGGAAAAATTATTTTATTAGCTCTGAGGTAACTTTTATTTTAAATAATTGCACGATTTAATCATTCCAAATCTTTAAAAAGTATTATTAGTAACATTATTTAACTTTGTGCTTGAACAAGATTCTTATCAATAAAATGCTTAAAACTTAATGTTTTCAATTTTTTTCACTTAGGGGTAGTTTTTACCCTTAAAAAACAAAAAGCGTCAATCGAGCTTATGTCAGTTTTGAACTTGAGCCTAAGATGAGCCTTATTATAAATTTCCATGCACATCCATG